CATATATATATATCCTTAAATATTTAAAAAGAAGCAACAGAGATGTTATTAGAAGGATATACGCGTGCACGTATGTACATCTCGAGTGAAAAGAAAAATAGTATACTGTTACGCGAATTGTTTTTATTTAGGAGGATTTACGAAAAACTTAACTCTTACTCTTAAAACTTTCAATCGCACTGAAATCACAGTAAAATTGAATTATGCCAGACAACATGCATGTCCAAAAAGGGAGCATAAGACATTCTGAGAATATCTTTATGACATAATGTCTAAAAGACATCTTCAGGACGTCTTATGTCTCGATTTTAGATTTTTTGTTTGCTGGGATGAGACACAATAGAAAGGACAAAACACGTATGTGTCCAGACGAGCGAATCAGTGGTGCACCGAATAGAGTTACTGGAAAAAATTTTAATTACCATTAAAATATTATTGTACACACACACACACACACATATACACACACACACACAAAATACTTGAAGATATTAACTGCGATTTTACTGCGGTTTTACAGATATTATATGAATGTGAGATTTATCTTTAAGGAACATTACCGTTAAGGTTACAAATAAGTACGAATTTGTCAAGGTGACGCCGACCGCCAGGAGAATATGTATGACGATTAAATTAATGTATGAAAACAAAGACTATATCTTACTGAGTACGTTTACAAAGTGCAAGAGTCTTTCGGTTAGTTTTAATGGCGATCCAAAGAGATGTTCTACTATCTATCTTACCCGCTAATTTTGATACACTCGCTGCCATCGGTCAATAAATATACTTCCGTGAAATTGACATCTGACTGTCAATTCAGATTTCAAAGGGTATTTCTTGTAGGATTTGCCTGTGAATGATTGTAGAAATCATTATTTCGTTTTTAGTTGAAAAATAAAAATGTTATCGATTTTTAAAAGACAAGAATTTTTGTTAGCTATAGCTCAAATTCAGCAAAGCGTGTTTCAGAAAAATCTCATAAATCTGTGATTGCTCATGGTGCTAGCCACTTGCCGTATTCATTTTGTTGTCTTCAACGGTTTTGAATATACCGACATTGTAACATGCAGGAAACAATGTGTATATGTATTGCCAGCAGTTTAACGGCGAAATAGTTGCATCAATGTTATCTGTAATCAATGTTGAATTGAATTGATACATGTCATATTGTGACAACAATATCAACAAGGTGTGTGATATTGCATATCATTATGACAACATGGCAATAGTACGAATTTTTACGATGACCATTTTAAAGTTGTCGACAAATTGATTGTAAGTTGTTACTCAAAGTTGTCATATCGTGAAGGCATCAAGTTGTCAACAAATAAGGACTCAGTTGCTGCAATTCTGTTGGTAGGAACATATATTTAGCAATGCATACTTAGCAAGCAACATGCCAACAAGATAAATACGTTACTAAACTGGCATCAAATTTATATATGAAATTGTAGATGTTTGAAGTATCAACGTTTTTGTTTGTAGTTAAAAAATTAACTTACAATCAATTTTTATACAACTAGAAATTCATTTAAAATGAAAAAGATTATAAGCTTATTTTTTAATTACAATTAATTACGATTTCATATATAAATCAGTGTCATTTGAGCGGTAGGTAAAAAAAATTCCGACTTGTTTTTAAAAAATGAAATAGCATTTTTGTTTTTTTAACTATAAATAACATAATGATTACTACAATCATCTGCAGGCAAAATTCTACAAGAAACGCCCTTCGAAATCTAAATTGGTAAAAATGAGTGCCAACTTCACAAAAGTAACAAATGTTGGGGACGTTGCTGCCCATTTCGAGTCCATTTTTTAAACAAATTGTTCTGTGCTACCTCAGCGTAATATGTATCTATGAAAATTCTAAAAGTTAGCCGCGCGTTAACGATACCAGCCCTTACTTTTTCTTCTGATACATATTTATTGTACGTGAATGATGCGAATTTACATATTCTTCATAAAACGTTTAAAAATAATTTCTACAAGCGTATTCTCTCTTCCTCTTGTCTGTCTTTCTTTCTTTCTTTCTCTTGTATTTTGAAAGTTTTTATTATGTTTTACGAAATGCTGCAAGAAAACAAAATAATAATCATTCGAAGAAATGTAAGATATAATATTTTACACTTACGAGACATTCTAACTAGATATGTTTTTGATTAATCACAATTCATGGTTGAGTGTCATTAATTATAAGTAAATGTGTAAACGTATTCAGTACATAATCTTTATGTCTATAAATTTCAAGCAGTAGTTAAATAGCGTGAAGCCATCACAGTATTCACAGCCTCAGAATTTACTACTTCCGCTTTGTTACAGAAAACGAAAAATCGAAACTATTCTTATTTACGATAACAGATAATTTTTTCGTGTTTAATATCAATCCTAAATCATATTAGCAATTTCATCTTAAGCATTCTTTTTTTTTTAATACTACATGTATACACACACACACACACACACACACACACACACATTTTTTCCTCTGTCAAAAAAGACCTCCTTTGTCTAAAATTCAGCTTAACCGAAAAATTTCTTTTTGGATACAAATTGTAGGTACATGTCTATATACTTTGTTTAGCAC